AAATCTTAAGTGGCAATATGAATTCCGATAAATTTTGTCGTAATTGCATACATACCGTCCGTACTTATCATCTATACTCCTAAATGCTTCTAATCCTATATTATAATCCTACATTGCTAGTGTAATGAGTAGATCATATAACTACAGATTCACGTCTTGCTCAATTTCAAATCGCTCTGATGAACATTAAATAATAAGGTAAGATGTGATATACTGCGTAAATTTTATATTATATGGTATGAAGGCGATATAGGTATTATTAAAGAGCGCAAAAATTGAAAATTTTAGGTTACTTGGACTAATTTAAATGTTTTAAAAATGGTAAGAAAATACACGATAGCGTTGTCGTTGTGGCCAACTTAGTACGTTATAGTAGCTGATAAATCTCAGTCGCTAAGCTTAACTATTAAATAAGCTATAACGTCCAGCAATGAAATTAATACGGATTTTTTACTGGGCGATTAATGCAATAGTCTAATTCTGATGCACTATACTAAGTAAGACATGAATTTAAAAGATACATATGCCAACACATTGCGTAACCTGCTGTATATTAAGAAAGATCTTATTACTAGTCCTGCTTTTAATCTTTTTAATGTTAAACTGTCTTCATGCTCTAGAATCCAGCTGGTAGGCATAATGATCTCGGTCCACTTATAACATACTGCTTCATAGCTGTAATAACTTAACTCCTACGAGTATGCATAATGATACTAGCTAACTTACTGATATAATGATTTTAATTCGATTGCATCAATTTTGCCCATCCGGTATCTAAATAATATTCATTCTTAGCTATATCAGCAGTATTTTTTCGCTCGCTAACGTACTGTAGATAATATTATTAGTAAGCTAAAGGAGTTGTCAAGGAAGTGTAATGCCGTTGTTGTTGTATATAGACATTTCGTGTGGCAAGGACTAAAAACTTTCTTTTCTTATACAGCTGTTGTATTAATCAGTTATTTCGAAAATATAGCTTAATAAATAGGTTGATTTCTACTTTAATCTATTGATGATCATTATAATATGGCAGCAAGAATTACATTTCCTCTATAGAGTTATGAAAACAAAAGTTTATTTTTTACATATCAAACAATCACAGACATAAATATCTTTATCATAAGATATGCATTGACAATTGTTAAGTGCTTCGAAAAATAAATTATAGCTTCTACTATTATTATAATATAGCTGAATACCATTTACCACTCTTATTGATGGTAGAAACTAATATTATAATTGGATATTTCTTACCATTTGGATAATGGACGAATTGATCCCTGTACCTGTACATGGCAGCTTTTACCAAGGATATAAGGAGCCTGACTTATTTTCAAGAGGCAGAATAAATAACATCCGTCTTTGACTACAAATGTTACACATCAATATTATAACAATACGTACAATTCTTTGATGTTAATCAACAAATTCTTATCAAACTTACTATAATAAAGCCTAATAAGAAAAGCATAAAGGTTGCTGTCAGTTTAATGTGTATATAAGCCTTATTATTGCTGTTAAAGCTTCCCATTTTAACGGTAATTTTTATGCTTCTCTTAGATTCATCGCACTGCTAGAAGACTAGTATACTAACGATAATATTAAAATAGAATAGGAATAGATAACTAGTGAGTAAATATATTGGCATATAGAATACATCTAAGACAAACAGTACTCTTCCGACAAGTTATCACTTGTTATGAGATAGAAATCCGTCATATTATCGTAATTATTCGTAATTAAATTGAACTTAGGTCTTACGCATTTGTAGGCCCTTTTGAAGATTTTAGGTTCAATTTTCGTCTTAATTAAGGAACAGCTTTTAAATTTATCGCCTTAGTCTATTACAATATCTGTATTATAAATGGATCGATAGATATGATAACAAAATACTCTATTAAATAAGAAACATGATCGTTCTTAATTTCTATTTCAACAGTTGATTGAATACAATCATCCAACACAATATAGGTAAACAACTTGCCAGCAAAAATATTGAAATTAATAATATAATAGTTAAAAATAGATAAAAAACAATGTTACAAGCAAATTATTTTATCGGTTCTTACGGATACAGAAAATGAATTTGATTTTGGTCGAAAAAAGTGAATTAATCAACTTCATCTCTCTCATTTGTGTAACAACTATATTGTGCCCTATAATGTAAGAAAAAGGAGAGATTGATTTCTTGTTTAACACAATTACATGTAAAATTTAGCACACCATTACTGACGCTAAGGTCTGCTATATCAATTATTGAGAAAAAGAAGATAAATAAAATAATAAGATGCATTATTTGCTTTGACCTGATTTGAAAATAGCAAAATATATTTGCTTATAAACAATTTTAATACAAGGATTCGAAAGCGTTAACTATTTAATGTTGGCGCCACCGAGCTTATAAATTGTTTAACATGCTTCAGTAACTAAAAAGAATAAATGATGCTTCCATATTGCATGGTTAATGAAATTAAGTGACATATTCGAAATAAAGTAAGCCCCTTAAGCGCGTATTTATTGATCTAGTACGACTACGCTACAAATAACGGACTGTGTTATATTTCAAATTTTGTTAATCTTCTGTACGTGTTATAAGCTTTTATTGCGCTAACAAATATAAATGTTTCTGTAGCTATAATCAATTTCATCATCTATTTGAGCTTGAAGAAGTAAGTCACCGTTTAGTTATCTTTTAAGTACATCTTTAATGGTCTACCGTTGGGCATCACCTTATAAGAGCTGAGGAATTAATACTTGAGAATAAAATTCAACTCGATTTCATCTAAGGATGTGTTGTTGTAACGCATTAAAATATCCCTGAATGATGCTTAATCCAGCTATATATATTAATACATTTATGAAATGGAAGCCATGGAAACGGAATTTATGTAGTATCGATACTAAGGACATACTATGGGTAGATTCTTTTTCATATACAGTGAAATATCACTGATTATAATGATGTATAAAAATTCGAAGATTCAGCCTAAACTTGATTTATAATTTAAAGCTGTTGGTATAGTAATTAATCATTTAGTAACAATAAATCAATGAAACTTACTAAGATTTTGCATGTTATTTAATTAGGTTGGTAGAACTATGTTAGCTTACTTTAAATCTTAATTTTGTTCCAAATTGATAAATGTGATATCCAATTCTATTTGCATGCTACCAGTAAAAGAATCAACTCGACCCCCATAGATTGCAAAAAATCATACTTTAGTTACGATAGCTCAAAATAGAAAATTGAAACTCTATCTACTCATCAGGAGAGATATGATTTAATACCCTTAAAATCATTGATAGCTAAGTTATGCTAGATAGGATTTTGTTACATATGCCGTTAGAATATTTGTATACTAGCAAATATCGGAATAAAAATTGTGACATAATGAAGGCTAACTCATAAATAATTTTGCCAGCTCATCAAGTTGAAAAAATCAATGAATCAAATTTACTGATTATATTATATATTACAGTATATAATCATTTAAATATTTAAATAAATTTTAAAATCAGCAAGATTGATAGATATCGAAATTGCCGCGTTCTGAATCTTACGTTAAGGGAAAGATAATAAGGCCTTATTAAACGGACAAAAGAAAGTGAAGGGCTATCAAGTGCATTAATAGTAGTTAGATTAAATCGGAAATACGGAAATTGAAAGGATGTTTATTATTATTAGTACTTTAGCGTGCATGTAGACTATTCTATTATTATGAATAAAAAGTAATTTTGAAAAAAAATACCGATATGTTGCATCGTTATATAAATGATTACAGTCAATATATTGAAAGAATTCTCATAATGAGCGAAATAGCTATAAAAATATCCCTCAGTTAAGAATTATTTAGAAGCAGAAAAGGTTATTTATGACACCTTTATTATGACTACGTTGATATTTACACTTAAAGAACGCGGAATTGCTTTAATGAAAGTAATTCTTTACTTTAGAGAGCGAATATAGTATTAAAATCCCCATCTTTTATGGATAATGAATACGATAGAAACTAGTGCACTAAAAGTTAAATATTTAAGGTATTTGAGTCATTCGATAAATTTAAGGGGAGAAAATTATCCTATCATTAGGTATTATGATATGGTAAACCATAAGTAATACCTAATCCTACATGAGTTAATTTCATGCATGGTTGACTAACGGAAGGCTTAGCAAGGATGACTGATTGCATATTTTTAACACGCTATAAGGATGTGATTGGTTAGGTTTTATCTATCTTTAAACTATAGAATAATACTTAGACTTTAGTAATATGCTGAATGTCTATCCAGAAATTCTTATGAATATAACAGGTCAAAAATGAAATTATTTAACATTTTCTTTATTTCTTTCATCATTTCCTGATCAGTTTCTAATACTGGTATTAGGTGATCATTTCAGTGTTCAATGAGGCTATATTTATTTTATTCTGTAATATTTTTTATAGAAGGCAATGTACTGTTCTGAAGGCAAGAAAAATCACTTTGTTTAAGGATTACGCGTAATCATAGATATAGCTATTACTATTTCAATATAATTTACCCTCAAGATATACAGTATTGCAAATTAATTCTTTGGATAGTAGATAATCGATTCATAAATAATACAGTAAAAGGAATAGGGAGTTCTGATCGGCAGGTATTTGTCTGCTATCACCATAAGCAGTTTAGCTCGATCTTATTAATAACATAACTTAGAATGAAATGCCGTTAAAATAACGTAAAAATAACTTCTTTATTTCATTTGTTTTGTAGCCTAACTTGTTTACTAATGAAATAGAATTAAATTCCATAGAATGAATATAAAAATTGGCATATTTATATATTTTCAGGTTACTCTGCCCTTAGGTGTTGCCATAACGTCTTGCAATAACTAGAAATAGTCGGCAAGATTCCAATAATACTCATTTGATATTACCGTAAATCGCACGCGAATCTTCTCATAAGCTTGTGCTCCCTTGGTTAAAGAGCGATAACTTTCAGAGTTAACGTCAGTAATCACTATGGGATACAACTTATGCCGGAATAACTCTTCCTTCCAATGGATGCCATTACAACCAATACCAGTGGATAGAACATTGATCATTAAAATTTTATGCATCATCTATAGTGTGTTAAGTATATTTGCTCTTCTGTGTAATGGTCTTGTTTTGGTAGCCATTGTACGTGATCGTCAGATTAGCCCTAAATTTTCGAATGCATTAGTTTGTAACTTAATTATGAGTGATTTTCTGCTTAGTTTAGTCGCTTTACTGACGTTTATCTTGGCCTTTCTCTTTGCATCACCTAATACTTATCCCCAAGGATTGGCTGGCCAATTATTCTGCTATATCATTCGTTCTAAATTTGCTATTTACATGCTGAATGCAGTCTCAGTAGCGACTATAGCAGCCATCAGCATCGAGCGCTATATTGCTGTCCTTCGGCCATTAAATTATAAAAAAGTTTGCACAGTCGCCAGGATTAAATGGGTCATTGTCGCTATTTGGCTGATGCAACCGATTCTAACTTCTGATTATATTCTCAGCGTTTCTTTTCATTCAAGCAAGAATAAAACCAATAAAAAAGTGGCAAGATGCTTACTGGCAAAATATCATTATTTACCTCAGTCTAATCACTTTCTAAGAGTAAATCATTTGCTGTTAGCTGCCACCTTAACCTTATCCATGATCCGTTTCTTGTTGCCGCTGCTAATAACAACATATTCTTACCTTAAAATAGGCCAAAACTCTCATTTACATAATGAAGCCCTTTATCATCGACATCGAACTTACTCTTCGACCTCTATTGCTATACGTCGTTTAACTCGTATGGCATCGGTAGCAACAGTCATTTTATTATTATGCTGGATACCAAGGGAAATTTACATCTTATTAAGCAGAGTGATAGCTATTTCGCATAGCCAGATTGTGGATAATATTACCACAACTTTAGTCCTCTTGAAATGCTGCCTGAATCCATTCTTATATGCCATAACAAATAAAACTTATCGTCGAGCCGTTCTAAGATTAATTTTAAAACGACCATATCGTCGAGGAAACCATCATAGACCCGCAACAGTTCATACTTCTGAACGCAATATTTTTCTAACAAGTACAAGTCTCGATCAAAGCAAAGGTATCATCAGCAACTCAACCACGCTATCCACATTAGCTGGTAGTGTTATAAGTGGTGGAAATCATCTTGATATTAATACTTTACCTACTGGTCTAAGAAGATGTGCCTGGGAAGCTCATTAATCTTAGTAATTATTATTCCTGTTGAAATAGTCGATTCCTTAATATTGTTAGAAACTATAATCTGAGATTATTTATAACTACTGTTCTTCATGTCATAGACGACAAGGGTTTAATCCCGGCAATCAATAACTGCTGTCATTGTTCAGAATCATTTATTAGACATATCTTAAACCAGATTACATTTGATTGATATTAGCAATATTAAATTATGTAAACATCGACCGTACTCGATCATACACTTTGAAACGATATTCATACGCTATTATGCCGTGAACGAAAATAGTTGCATCGTGAATTTAGTGTCTGATCACATCTATATTATTTCATGTAGAATTCAAACATGTGATTTACCGACCGATAAATAGCCCAAAGAATTTAAATGAAATCTAGTGTACTCGCAAAGATAAATGATTTATTTTTGTACGTTTGCAACCAAAATAAGCTGCAGTTTTGCTATGCAAGGCATACTAATTTAAATCATTGTTGATTGAAGAGTGCAATTGGTTATAACATTATAAAGTAGAATGTGGATTGGGCATTTTGTCAATTATAGATTACATAAAATAGGTAGAAATTTCCATGCTGCATGCGCAGCGTACCTGTATTTCGACTCTAAGGCCTAGAAACTTTTAGGGACTCTATAAATGCTCAATTGGTATAGATTCTATTCATTAAAATGTAAATGATACGGTTATAAATCTTATACCATCAGCAGATACTAATAAAACGAATACTCACATATTATCATGTTAATAATTTTTTTGGCTTGACTGAAAAATAAATTCATGACCCAATTGTTCTACAACAGTAACTGTAATTACTTGGATAGTCTGTATCCCCGTATAACTCAAGTATCAAGACTAATAATACGATGTATTTTCAATAACTGTCTTTCGTAAATCAGCCCTCGCGTAGGTTTATCAGCATTTTCGCAATTTATCAATAGAAACTCGAAGTATACAGTAAATTCATTTCGCTTTTATTGACTTCCCATATCTTAATCTAGAAAAGTAGAAAACAAACTGGTGATCAGCGTATTTTAGATTTCTTGAATAATACGTAAACAATAACTACTTGCTGCTATATTTGCAGCAGTCATTAGGTTTATCGCATTCTTACTGCTTTTATAGTTTGTAAGCAAGCAATTATATCGAAGTTAAGGCCCAAAGAAATTAAAAATAGTTACGAAGGGTATTATGTTTTTTTACGCATGCTTTATGAATATCTCGAGATCTAAATTTTTTATTCTTACAATCACATTTTCTACTATGCTCTGTATAATTTACATAGCGAATTATAGGACCTTACCACTCTACAATATACCTATAGGCAAATATCCGTTTGTCAGATACAGTATTTATTAATGAAATAATTAGGTAAAAAAGACTTTAAATTTCAATATATAATACAGTGCATGGAAAATATCGCGCTAAAGGATGCAATCCTTGAACCCTATAGAAGGTTCTAGCCTTACTGCAGTTTAATTAGGGGTCAAGTTACGAATATCCGTTATTGATTAACCCGTACATTGATTAAATATTATCCAATAAATGAACGAAGCGCTATAGAATATCTAGGTAGATCTCTGACTATTAATTCTAATTATTATCAAATTGCTAATCTACAAGGATAAATCTGTGCATACTTAAGAATAATAACATAATTGCCGCTAATTTCCTAATCTGTATATGGCACAAAATACTGACTTAACACCGTATATATATTTAAATATAGTTAATCTATTAGTCTTTATATAAGGTAACAATAATCATTAAAACATAAATGATGAAGGACAACATCTTAAATAGAATTAAATAGAATTAATGTACTAGTATATTCATTATCCTTAATACATTAATGATGAAGAACAACGAAATTTTTAATTTTATGACCGATAAGAATGCCGTTAAGAATAGAAAACTTCTTTACTAAGCCTAATTTACTGATGAATCATATATTAGCCTTGCTTCATCTTCATAAATGATTTCGCATGAATCACAAAGAATTAGTTTATATTTTTACTAGATAAACGACGTAGTAATATTGCCTAGAATTGAACCTATTGTGCTCATCGTAATGAAAATAGTTAAATTACCTTGAACTTTATTGATTAGTTGCACGAAAACATAGGGACTAATTTTTTTTGTGGTACGCATTGCATTAACTCTAAATCTAAATTACTATCTAAATTATAAATTTAATGAAATAACTGGTTTTAACCTGCTGAATAGGGTAATGAAATGGAGTTATGCCGATAGATTAGCTCGCCAATCAATTTAAGTTAGGATGTGCTAGTATTGCATGCAAAGGTTAAAGTTTACTTTAATACCAGGTAGTAATTGGCGAAGAATTTATGATGTTATATCACTGACATATAAGTGATAAGCTAGTGAATCCTTGTGAATACGGGTGAATCATGCTCTGTCTTAGAATTTAGCAATAATAGAATTGATGATCGAGCACATAAGCAGACTAATTACTGTGTCAATATAATCTCATAGGTTGCTTAGTGATATTCATAAAGGACCAACATGCGAGAAAGCCATTAGTAATAGTAGCAGTTTAGATCAGTATTTTTAATTGATAATGTTCTGTAATTCGAAATTATGCAGTGCTGATGGAGAGAATCTAACCCTAATAAATAAAACTAACAACTTTTATCTAATGTTACGCAAGCGAGATCATTTGATGAACTTTTTCGGTTTACCATAAATGTATACAGGCTGGCTCGGTGTACCATATCAACGATGGAATTTCGGTAGCTGCGATTGGAAGCAACATAAATAACTGGATTTAGCACACTATTCAATATAACAAAGACTTTGACTGTTCGATGAAATATTCGACTTCGTGGTATAAGCTTAAATGATCGCAATGTAAAATAGATTTCGTTAGGTAGCCAACAAATTATCAATGCTGCAGATGCTGCCATTACCATTTTGGACATTCTACGCCGTCGATATCGAGGCAAAGCATATTTTCGGCGACTAGGAGATCGAAGTTTACTCCATCTTTCAATATTAATATTAGCGCAAAGTATAATAACTAATGGTACGTAAAATGTTATAATTTCTGAAGCAGTGAACCAATAAAGATAAGTATTTGCTGTGGGAAACACACGATACCACTTACACGGAGGCATAGTGTTATTGTCGTAATGGACGTTAACTACATTACTTATTTTAAAGGCCATATTGATAAGGAAGATGATAGGCATAATCAACTTGGCATTGCTAGAACGGCAGTAACGCCGATAGACTATAGGCTTAGCGATTGCGACCCATCTTTCTAAGCTAATAAATGCTATAATAGCTACTGAGTAAAAACCAAATGTAAATAATAAATACTCCGAAAAGATTATACGGCAAAAAATATCTCCGACTGTACCTGATGGATATAGATACTTGTTGGCAGGAATAACAAAGTCAGGCGTAATTAGAGTCAGTGTACCAATGGATAAGTCGGAAATAGCCATATTGATGATTAACAGATCATAAAATGTATAAGCATGTTCTATTTGCATTCCACGCCATAGCAGAGCCGTGACAGTAGAGTTAAAAATAATCGATAGTACTGATATAAAACCGTAAAGGACATGAAGAAACAAGGGTAATGGATAATAGCCTGTAGAATTATAGATTGAAATATTAGCATTTGCCATAGATGTTAAATTAATAGCTATTTCGGGATTTTCGGGATTCATTATACTTTGTATAGTCTGAAAATGTTGCTAGCGTGTATTGCTACTGGAATATTGCTGTCTCTTGCGTAAAACAGTGCCAAATTGGCGTTAGTAATGCAATATGTAATATGTATGCAAATGTAATAGCTTATGATTTCGATGTAATAGGTTGCAGAATAGAGAAATTTATTATTTGAGGCTAGAATATAGATGTCTGAATCAACGATGTTTAATAGAAGTTAAGGTTAGATTTCTTAACTATTTTATAATAATAACTAGAATATAATGTGATATCATTAATATAAATTATCAGATACTGACCAGTTTCCCTTCTAATCAATCAAGTTAATACAATATCGGAGTAGAAAAATTGTAGCGTTCGCTATAAAGAGGGCAATGGGATTGTTGCAACTCATAAATAAACTATTTTTTTTCCAGCTGTTCTTTTAGGAAGATATTTACGCGACTTATACTGGAATACTACTGTACTGACTTCCAGGGACTACTAATTTTAGCGTTGCTGTTATTATGAAAATAGTCAAATATTGCATTTATTTGATTAATAATATTTGGTTATCACTTGCAAATAAATATGATTTTATTGAGCTTAGCAGCGGTTCTTAACTCTAGTTTAAGGCTATTATAGAAACGTCAACACCTAGAAAAGAAATAAATAAGTAATTAAATATCCACCTGGTCAATATAATTCTAATCTAAACATTTATCTTGAAAGTTAGTAATGTAAATAAATCGTACCTACACAGATTTTTTCAATGCAGAATAATAAATTGTAAGCTATTTACAGTTATAACCAATAATGAAAGCCTTAGCAATACGCATTCTGTAAATAAATAACAAAATCAATATTTTTTCGAAAAATACATATTTCTATCATTATACAGTTAATAAAACTGATATAATTACTATTTCTTTGATTTTAAGTTTTCGTATGCAAACCAGATATGACAGTTTAATAATATTATTCTTACTTTGCCATGCGACATATTAGGTTCATTTTTTAGTTGATCTAACTTTTACATATCTAAATTACAAAATTGTTAGATTTGATGAAGAAATAACAGTATCTCCGTCGGAGTTAAAGCAAGTCTATTTCATAAAATGATACATGCTTTAAGCCTTGTCAATGCTACTTAGAAAGCAATAGAAAGTAAGAATTACAATTCTGTCTATTATTCCGCAGTTAGCTGTATTTTATATGTTAGAACACTTGCGCGTAAGTTTTTAGTGATTCAATGTTAACGCGTGTACCGTGCTGTTTATACGATCAATATGGTGATGCCGATACTTACAAGTGTTT